CCTGAAGCCTAGCGATGGTCCAACATTCAAGTTACTGTGAGTACAGACACACACATACTTTCCGCACACTGTAAGGGCAAAGTGAATTTTCCATAATACAATATTTGTAGCAAAATATATCACTCTGTAATAGGTTAAAAAAAATTTTCCTCTTTTGATTCCCTGAAACTTTCTTGATTTAAAGAAAACATGGGGGCGAGTGGGATGGGAAAAGGCGAGGAGCTAGAATAAACACGGAGGCTCTCTGGAGTGGGAAATGTATTGAGATGTGTGGAATGCAGGTCCCTGCAGCCCACCTATGTGGAGAAAGCTTCTAGCAATAGCTGATACAGAAACCTATTCTAATTTCAAACAGCTGCAGAGAGGGTGTGTTTAGCAGCTGTATAGCACCTTGTACATTCTGGGCACTTAAAAACATTAAATGATGGTGATGATGAGTGGTAAACATCTCTGTAGGAAGATTTATAGAAACTATTACAATTTTTTAAGAAATTTCCCAAGAATTCTTTAAACAAATGTACATCTCTTTAAAAAATTCTCAGCCCTCAGTCTCACCTGGATATGATATTCTCAGGCTGAAGCTACAGTCATGACAAAGAGAACTCCTTAAAAGAACTGGAGAACTTTACAATCTGCCCAAGGCTTTCATCGCCATCATCATCTTTTATGCCCTAATACACAAAGTGGACTTAAAAAAAAAAAAAAAAGGATACTTTTTTGAGGAAGGATTATTTTATTAGCCAAATACCTTGATATGGAATGTATGTGAATTCCCCTTCCATTACTTTAGAAGCATCAGGACAACAAGGCTTGCTTTCTTTGGTATAATCCCTATCTAGGCTCTTGCATTGCAGCTGTTTCCCTTATAGCATCATTTTTGGACCATGGAATCTCCACTTTCGGCATTGCCATAGCATGGACAGCTGGACTTCGGTGTACATTTCGGCAAGAGCAGCACTTGGATTTGTCTCAGCATAGCACTTGGGGCCTTTGAGAGTATAAGCTTCAATGAGGTAAAACTAATAACCAGTTTTCGTGGGCAGCCATCCTCTTTACTCATTAGGCTGAAACAGAATTTTCAACCCTTATCAACTGGTCCAAAGAATAAAAAATATGTCAGAGTTGGCCTAAAGAATCAAGTTCCTCTCTCCCCCTCTCCAAGTATGTTCCTTTTTTATTTATCCATACTAGCCTGCATTTTTTCAGATCACTGCTGGTAAAATCTAGGGAATAATCCTACTTGCAGGTTACCAGCAAAACCAAGTGAGGTTATTTCCTAGCAGCAAATTATTCTTAATATAAATTTGAGGAGCTAAGTGTAATCTTTCTGTGCCCTACTATTTAGTAGGCCCCAAAGATCTTTCATGGAAATTCTATAATACTAAAAACTTTAAAATACAATTTAGGTAGTTTTACTCTCAGAAATATCATTAATATTCCTAGAGGATTAAATTTCTTGGCTTAAGAGTTTTCCATGTCCACAAATTTATTCTGAGTTTGGAAGCAAAACTGGCCCTCACTTAATGTGACAATGAAAATCTATTCAGGCTTTCAAAATCCTAAGGTATATATTTTACTTTTAGCACCCCAACATTAGTAGTGTGGGTGCTTGTGCCCCTCTCCATACCTCATCTAGTTCATCTTCAGAGGGCAAAACTTTAAACCCATTGCCATACTCCTGGCTTCCAGAGCTAAATTAGCCTAGGGGTTGGTAGACCTCATTCATGATTCTTTAATTGTTGATTCTACAGGTTACAATTGTTCTTTTTCCCATCCTGTTATTCTTCATGAATGAATGTCTGGGTATCACACTAGTGTACATATACCAAAGGAGCTCTCCTCAAGCTCGCATGGGAGATCTCTCCCAGTCCTAGTCCTCTTTGTGGAATATCTGATTCTCTTCCTTCCAAGACTAGGTTATATCACTCTACCAAGGCTCTCTGTTTTACATTCAATTTTGGTCTTGCCTACTCCAGCTGTTGTCTTGTTTCTCTAGCACCCAGATGAGTTGGAGAGATTGTTCTTGCTCATGCGGCTTAAAGAAAAGTTCCAATAGTGGCTTAATTGTTCGAACTCTCAATATGGAAGAATAAATAGTACAGACTTCATTAGAAAAGAAAAAAAAATCCAATTACTATTAAAGACAGTAACTTGAAGTTACTTGAGAAAACTTAAAGTGCTTTACTAGTCACAATCCCAAACTCAGATATATAGCTCTGTGTCTGAGGGTAGCGTTTCTTTTTAGTTGAATTCAAAGTTCTTAATATAATTAAAATGGAAATGTAAAAAAAATCATGATAGAATTAGATTGACTGAATTTCATTATTTTGGAAAAATATTCTGAGGACCATCTGATGTAGTACTTCCTGCCTAAACATACAGTTATTTTGTCCATTTTGCTCTAACCTGTAACACCTTTTGCCCTCTTTACCTCACATTTCTCGGCCATCACTCAGAGAAAAATAAATCTAGCCGCCTGTCTCTAGGAAGCCTGAGTCCCTTCTACTACTAGATGGCATTTATCTTTTGCCCTTAACAAATGTGAATATAAAAGCAGTACTAAACATATCTGAAGTGAAGAGGTGCTTGGTTTACCAGTGCTATAAGATAATGATGGTAAAGGGTTATATAGAGTTAAAATGAAGAAGATTGGATCCAAGTCAAAACATGGGAGTGGTGGAGGCATAGGTGGAGGAGAAAGAAAAAGAGAAAAGAAGAAAGAAAAATACTACCTAGAGAACAAATAAATGGACCAGAGAATTTTCTTGATTAAATATGAAACCACATTAAATACTCAACATTCAAATTTACATGGGCAAGGCACCACAAGAGTGACATTGAGAAAGAGTCTCAATATGCAAACCGTCGGGGAATGGGGGGGAGGCTGGTAAGGGAATGTGCTGGCTGACATGGTCAGTGGTCTGTGTGCTGCTACTTCAGTGTATAATTAGGCAAGGAGTTATGTGCACATGGGCTATGCTAAAGTGAACCCAAAACCAGTCTCTTAGGCAAGGCAGAGCCATGCCACAGGACACGGCGAGAGTGGACTGTGGCATGCCCATTCTCTGGCCATTCTTAGGGGCAGAGCCCTGCACTCTGGCTAGAGGAGACAAGCCACTTTTTGGGCCACCCATCTCCCTCTCTTAGGAGTCCTGTACTGCTGGCCAGGACAGGGACATCCTTCATGGAACCTCACATGTCCCATTCTCTTAAAAAAAAAAAAAAGTATAATAAAATACATTCTTCTCCTTTCTTGATCCTCTTTGATACAGGTGAATCACATGAAAGGCTGATAAAAATGTTAAAAGTTTAGAAACTTCCAAAGGCCACTAATGTGCGATCTAAGTAATACTGCACAGTCTTGGCTTTAAGGAACTCTGCGCTGGTAGGTGAAGCGCCTAAGGGCGCCCTCACTGACTAGGTGCAGAGAACATGTCTATCAATCCCGTCACAGGCTGCTCCCCTAGAAGCCTGGCCTCTACTTCCAGCATGTGTGCACACACATGGGGCACACGTGTGTACACACTCACACTGTCTGAGTGACTCTTGGGATTTCGAATTTGAAGTAAACAGATACTCACAGTTTTGAATAAAACAAGCACACACACACTCACGCACCCTGGTGGAAGGAACACTTGTCTCTTAGAGCAAATATGTGCCAAGGGAAGAAGGGGAAGATTTCTGTAGATCTTGCTTCAGGTGAAGTTGCAACATAAACACTGTAATACACAGCTAAAAATATTCATACAAAAATTGCACATATATCCATGAGAGGAGCACAGACCCCATGTATGGTGAATAGCTCTCAGCCACTCACCTCAGCAATCAAAATTCCCTATGAGCTGTCCTTCAGAGCCATTTCAGAGTCATAAGGAGCAACATGCCAGTGCAACTTGGAGGCAGTCTCTCCAGAAAAGGTCAGCATTCTAAGGAGGAGGTGAGCAGTCTCATCAGTGGCCTTCTCTCCTTCTCCTTCCACTGGCCATCCTAACAGCCATTTGTGCCAT